CCGCCAAGAGCAGGAAAGGCCAGGAACGCTTCAACAAGTGGCTGTGGACGGGGGCCACCGTGGCCGGCGTGGTGCTCCTGGGCTCTCTCCTGAGCCGCAAGTAGCCAGAGACTGTCTCTCCGTCCGTCCATCCGCTTTGGCCGGCCGGGCTGCACCCCGAGGCTCAGCCTTGCGATCATTCCAGGGGTGGGGACGGGGATGGGGGTTTTTAAAGGAAGCCCTTCATTGCAACACACCCCTCGACCCTACGTCCCATCCCCACCCCACCATAAACAACTCACAGACCTCTTTCTGGTGCCGGCTGCCCCACAGACATCTCCAACCACAGGTCACTGGTCTGAAACTTATGGATTATTGCACCCGAAACACATACACACACACACACCGGCACCTTTAGGTGTTTTGCCTACCTTCAGCATTTCCCGATTGTGTCAGGCACGCTGACCCAAAGCCTGGTATTTATCTTGACTGTTGTTTTAATGTCCATCCGGATCGGCCCAGAGCACAGGGGCATTCCCACAGGGTCTTTGCAAACAATAATACCCCCCTCGCTCTCCCAATGTGTCACAAGGTCTTCTGAGCTGAGCAAGCGAAGTGAAGGGAGGGATTGGGTCTCCTGGACCTCAAAACACCAGAGAAGACCCCATCCTTCCCTGATCTGAGGACCTGGATCATATGATTGCGGACAGTGGAGACAGAGGTGGGCTGGAGGGAATGATGGGGGAGGGATGGTGGCCAGAAATAAGGTGGTGGGCCACATTTACAGCTGCTTTTTCCACCCAAATGCTGACTCAGCTCCTCCTCCTCCTGGCCTCCTTTTAGTGGGGGGGCAGGGTCAGTGCCTGGGTCTTTCCTCCCTGTCTTTAAAGTTCTTTCCAAGGATGCCTCTTCAGCCCATCTCCCTCCTCAACCCAGGCTGTAGCCCACTATTTGCTTACATTGCCTAGTGCAGGAGGGAGGTGGGCAGGTGCCCGTGGGGGCTCTTTCCATACAAAATTACTTTTGGTGCTGAGGCTGCTGCCTAGAGTGCCCCCTTCAGGCCCCCCTCCCTTCTGCAAAAAAACAGGCAGCCCTCCCCGACATTAGCTTTCCCAGATTTCCCCTTCCTCCTCCTTCATGCATCCTCTGCAACATTTGCCCCTTTCCTCTGCATCCGAGACCTTGGGCCAACCCAGTCCAGCCACTGTGTTTCTTCTTCGTGCATGTCCCCGTATGCCTCCAACCCACCCCATGCACACGAAGGCTGCACCGTTTTGTCGTCTTTGTTCTCCAAACAGCTATTGCATGTCTGCACTGGACCGGAATTTGTGTGCGCTTTTGGGCAGGGCGGTCGAGGGGCAAGGCAGCTGGGATTAGGGGCGCAGCACCTGCCAGCCAAGATTTCGAATGAGGCCACCAAAATGGACAGGGAACTGAGTAGAGTAGTTGGGGTGGTCATGGTCCCCATTTTGTCCCGCTTTGAGAGAGATGCCTTGAGGCCTCCTCCACAATGGGAAGGGATCCCAAGACTAGGTTTGGGATCCACATCTTCTGCTTGTGGCCAAGGAGAGCAGGCAGAAGATGGGGAGGGAGCAGTGGGGCCGCAGAGAGAAAGCGAACTCGCTCACCAGGGCAGCCTCTAGAAGGTGTTTACAATCAGCCGCTGGCTCTCTGGTGACGCTCCAGGGTTCTTCCAGGAAAAAGCGAGCATCAACAGCATGTGCAAGGCCAGGCAGCCCAGGCAGCACATGAATCCCTGGTGGAAGATGGTAGGAAGGAGAAGCGGAGCGCAAGTGGATGCTTAGCCGCTGCGTTCCCAAATAGAAATGGGGCAGGAAGGGTTGCTGCCCATATAATGTTGAGCCAGGGGTTTCTTATGGACTCCTATAGATGGGAGAACCATTGGAGACAGGAAGGCTGCCAGGGATGGGGAGCCAAATGGGTTTGGGTGGAAGCAGAGCGGGATGGGGGCGGGGGGATGTAGGGTAGCCCTAGATATGAGGCTGGGCCTTGACTGATGGCACCACCTCGGTGCTTCTTCGCAATAATTGTCAGCCTCATCTGGTGGTTGCCACGGTAGGCCAAGGCGATGGCACGCAGGGGCCGTTTCTGCAGGACGCGGGACTTGGTTGCGAGAGAGGCAAGAGTGGACCGGCGCGCGTCTCTCTTGGTCTCTGCAGCAGCCAAGGGATTGGGAGCTGCATATGGGAGTGGTGGGCCAAAGAAGTTTGGGCTGAGCTTGCTGGCAGGGGAGGCGAGGGGTAGAGCCCCCTCCTGCCCTTCTCCCATCCCTGGCCGTGGCCCTGGGCTCCCCCTCCAACCAGTCCAGGCTGCCACTTTGGACCCTTTGGGGTCGCCAACACGAGGGCCGCCTTGCAGCTCGCCTGCCCCTTCCTTCTCCCGCCCCTGCCCTGTACAGGCTCAGCAGTGTATATATCGAAGAGTAGTTTTTATTCAGTACAATAATACTATTTTTGTTAATTGTATGTCTGTATTTATGTGTGTTGGCTGTACTCTGCCCCCCGCCCTGAACCCCCCCCCCCCACCTGACTCCAGTATATCCCAGTTAACCTCATTACCATGAACCTGTCCCGGCAAAAGCGGAATGCATTGGGGTTCCCTCTCGGCCCCTTTTTGATTTAAAGTGTCCGTGCTGCACCTTCCGACCACCCGCCCATCCGTTGTTTTCAGGCCCTACACGAACCCGTTACTTTGTGTGGTGAAAGTTCGAGTTTAATAAAACTGTGAGTTGCATCTTCTTGTGGTTTTCTTGCATATCCTCTCGTGTTCTTGGGCGTTTTTGCACATTTAAGCCCAGCTTTGCAATCGGGGGAGTTGAGACACTGGGGAAGGCCCAAGCCCTAGATGGAGCTTGGAAAGAATAGAAAGCATAGTTTCCAACTCAAGGGAAGTCGTACTTCCCCTATATTCCACACTGGCTACTCCTCATCTTGAGAAATGTATTCGGTTCATGGCATCTCATTTTAAGAAGGACCTAGAGGACTTGGAGTCAGTTCATAGAAGGGCAACAAGGATGGTAAGAGAACAAAACACATGAGAAGGGTTGAAGGAGCTGTGCATGTTCATCCTTGAGAAGAGGAGACTGAGGGGTAGACCTCTTAAATAATACCCCAAAGGGTATACAGTGTTCTCTCACTTATCGCGGGAGTTCCGTTCCAAGATCACCCGCAATCAGTGAAAATCTGCAAAGTAGGGATGCCATATAAATGTTAATATTTATACATTATTTTATATATTATTATTTATATATTGAGCCCCCGGTGGCACAGTGGATTAAACCCCTGTGCCGGCAGGACTGAAGACCGACAGGTCGCAGGTTCGAATCCGGGGAGAGGCGGATGAGCTCCCTCTATCAGCTCCAGCTCCTCACGCAGAGAAGAGAAGCCTCCCACAAAGATGATAAAACATCAAATCATCCAGACGTCCCCTGGGCAACGACCTTGCAGACGGCCAATTCTCTCACACCAGGAGCGACTTGCAGTTTCTCAAGTCACTCCTGACACGACAAAAAAAATTATATATTTATATAGTATTATTATTTTATATATTATATTATTACCTGTGCTTCCTTATCCGACTCCCAGCCCATCCCAAGGGCACCTTCCTGTCTCCCTGGCCTCTGCAGAGCCTCCGGAGCCACGCAGGAAGCAGCAGTCCAAGGAGGCAGGCCTTCCCCGCCATGCCTCAGGTCCCTGGCCACCACTAGATGTAAATATTAAATATTTTTATTAATATTTTCAAAAACCCACAAAACAGCGAGTCCGCTAAAAGCAAAGTAGCAAGGAAACGCTGTGAAATTACCTCCAAAACAGACCTATGCTCTATTCTCTGTGCCTCTGGAGCAGTGGTTCTCAACCTGGGGTCCCCAGATGTTTTTGGCCTTCAACTCCCAGAAATCCTAACACCTGGTAAACTGGCTGGGATTTCTAGGAGTTGTAGGCCTAAAACATCTGGGGACCCCAGGTTGAGAACCACTGCTCTAGAAGCTTGGACCAATTCTAATGGTTTGAAGTGACCGGAGGGTGGCTTTCAATTGGACATTAGAAGAAGGAACTCAATGGTAAGAGCAATTCAGCTGTGAAAACAATTCCCTAAGCCAGTGGTTCTCAACCTGGGGTCCCCAGATGTTTTTGGCCTACAACTCCCAGAAATCGCAGCCAGTTTATCAGCTGTCAGGATTTCTGGGAGTTGAAGGCCAAAAACATCTGGGGACCCCAGGTTGAGAACCACTGCCCTAAGCTAAGGTGGTGTTTCCTGATCTGGACATCTTCAGAAAGATGTCCAGATCAGGACATCTGGACAGCCTTCTCTTGAGTAGAATTGAAATTTGGTGGGGGGGGGGGTTGCTCTAGCTGGAGCTTTTGCATTGCGGCTGGACTCAGTGACCTACAAGGCTCCTTCCAGCCTTCTGATTCTAAGGCTCTTGCGAACTCATAGAGCAGCCTTCCCCAATTTTGTTTCCTCCTGTTAGCTAAGGATGATGGGAATTGGAATTCCAAACCATCCAGAAAACATCTTATGGAAGGAGCTAACCAAAAGGCCGAAAGATGAAGGGAATCCAAAGGCACTCTTGAGGTAGGTCAAGGCTCAAAGCCATTCTTACCACGTGCAGGAGCATAGTCATAACGCGTTGTGCCTAATGGAGTGGAGCAGACAGTAAAGGGTTACATTAGCAGAAGGCAGCTTTTGTCTAAAAGTGCATTTCTGGTTTGGAAAAGAGGTTAAATAGTGCGGGGATGACTCGCAACCTTTTCAAAAGGCATATCTGCCCCAAGAGGCTTCCAGGAAAGGTAATTTGTTTTGTGAGGCTCAGGGCTGCAAACATAGCCCCAGGACTGAGGAATGCTCTTTGTCCAACTCTGGACTCGATGGACCCCGAGTTGAAATCAAAATAAGGCTACATTCTTTATGTCCACTGGAGATTCAACCTGATGTTAAATTCAACAAAAATCATGCTTTACTCTCCCCTCTGGCTACGCAATAGAGAGACAACATAGATCTGGTGTTCCATGTAGTGTTTTTATTGTGCGCAGAAAAGACAATTTTAAAGAGGTGCCAACTGAACAAAGGCCACATGAAGGGGATTAGGTCTGGACACTCTCCTGTCTGGCTTGACTTCTTCAAATATGGCTTCAAGATAGGATCCAAGGAAAGGAGTCAGGCAAACTGGACGGAAAAGGCCCGAACCACAGGAAGGTGATCCAGAGGGAGGAATCGGAGGTGGACAGGTGAGTGAGTTGGCAGCAGGAGAGGCACAGAGGAGGACCCAGGATGCTAGGTGGCCCTTCTGTGGATTCTCTTCCTCCTCCTGGGTCCTACTTCTTCCACTCTTTCTTCTCGTAGTCCCACTTGGCCGCGAAGCCCTGCACGGGGTTAACGTGCATGTCCAGCATGCGCTGTACTTGCATCGCCTTCCACTCGTCCGACAGCGTGTGCGGCTTGGGAGGGAACACTGTGGGCACCAGAAGGGGTGGAAGAGAGAAAGAAGTGCTGGGTGAGATGGACACCATGGAGGACAAAAATAAGTCAAGATGGAGGTTTCGCCCTCTTTTTCTGGGATTCAGTAGTTACTTAGCATGCTTGGGGTGCCCTTTTCAAGATCAGGGTGATGAAGGAATCACATTAGTAACTGTTTGCAATCCCACCCCTTGCATGAAGCACTACTGCAGTGTTTCTCAACCTGGGGGTCGGGACCCCTGAGGGGGTCACGAGGGGGGTGTCAGAGGGGTCACCAAAGACTATCAGAAAACACATATTTCTGATGGTCTTAAGAACCCTTTTGGCAGAGAAGGCTGAAGATCTCTCTGCCTGTCCTTCTTTTCTTGTGTTGGTGAACTACAACTCCCAGAATTCAAAAATAGCCCCCATCCCAACCCCACCAGTATTCAATGTTTGGTGCAGATCCATTGTGGGCTGGGTTCCAGGGTCGGCTCAACCCACTACGCAAAGTAAGCATTCGCAGTATAGTTGGTTTTGCCCAGGGGCGCTCTTGAGGTGCTCTTGGGGGAAGATAGACCTTGACATATGCGAGTTGTAGTTACTGGGATGTATAGTTCACCTACAATCAAATAGCATTCTGAACACCAATGATGGAATTGAACCAAATATGGCACACAAAACTCCCACGACGAACAGAAAATATATATCAGTAATTGGTTGGGGGAGGGGGGTAGGCGCCAAAATACTGTTTGCTTACCATTGAAAATTACCTAGGGCTGCCTCTGCTGGGTTCAGAGTGCTCTTTGATTCCAGGTGAACTATAAATCCTAGCAACTACCACTCCGAAATATCAAGGTCTATTTCCCCCCAAATCCACCACATTTGGGCATATTGAGTATTTGTGCCAAGTTTGGTCCAGATCCATCATTGTTTGAGTCCACAGTGTTGGTGAACTACAACTCCAAAACTCAAGGTCAATGCCCACCAAACCCTTCCAGTATTTTCTGTTGGTCAGGGGAGTTCTGTGTGCCATGTTTGGTTCAATTGCATCATTGGTGGAGTTCAGATTGTAGGTTAACTATAACACTATGACTATAAATCCCAGCAACTACAACTCCCAAATGACAAAATGAATCCCCCACCCCTCCAGTATTCAAATTTGGGCATATTGGGTATTTGTGTCAATTGTGGTCCAGTGAACAAAAATACATCCTGCATAGCAGATATTTACTTGACAATTCATAACAGTAGCAAAATGACAGTTTTGAAGTAGCAATTAAAATAATGTTATGGTTGGGGGTCACCACAACATGAGGAACTGTATCAAGGGGTCACAGCATTAGGAAGGTTGAGCACCACTGCACTAGTGGAACTCGGCATTAGCCATGGATCAAAAACAAATCTTGGTCAAATTCCTGTTTGGAAACTATGAACTCCTGACTCCCATCCTGTGGTTGCACAAGCCGTTCCAGAATCTGATTTTTTAGTTGTTCTGTGCCTTCAAGTCCATTCTGATTTGCAATAACCCTATCACTGTTTCCTTGCCAAGCTTTAATCACATGAGGTTTCTTATTACCTACGACTGAGAGGGAGTGCAACTTCTCCAAGGTCTGTCTGCCAGTGGGTTTCAAAGGCTGAGCAGGAATTCAAACCCTGATGATACAGTGTCGTAATCCAGTATCCAAGCCACTACACAATACTGGCCTGGATTAAGCTGCTTGAAACCTGGTTTATAGAAAACCCGTTCCTCTTGAATTCATCTACTTATTGCAATATTCCACCAGGATTTCTGGAAGGATTAATCCATAGTCCTCCCTGGTATTCTTTTTTTGGAAATATTCCATCCATGGAACTGTTTGAGCAATAGATATCAGAACATGGCCATATAGCCCGAAAAGACCTACAACAACCCAGATATCAGAGTTTGAATCCCTGCTCAACCATGGAAACTCATTGGGTGACCCTAAATAAGTCACACCATCTCACTATGAGAAAGGCAGGAGCAAACCCTTAGTAATTGGTTCTCAACCTTCCTAATGCCATGACCCCTTAATACAGTTCCTCATGTTGTGGTGACTCCCAACCATAAAATTATTTCCATTGCTACTTCATTACTCTAGTTTTGCTACTGTTATGAATCATAATGTAAATATCTGATATGCAGGATGTATTTTCATTCACTGAACCACATCTGGCACAAATTAGAATACTGGTAGAGTTTGTGGGAGGATTGATTTTGTCATTTGGGAGTTGTAGTTGCTGGGATTTATGGTTCACCTACAATCAAAGAGTATTCTGAATTCCAGCAATAACGGAATTGGAACAAACTGGGCACACAGAACTCCCATGACAAACAGAAAATACTAGAAGAGCTTGGTGGGCATTGACCTTGAGTTTTGGAATTGTAGTTCACCTACATCCAGAGAGCACTGTGGACTCAAACAATGATGGATCTGGACCAAACTTGGCACGAATACTCAATATGCCCAAATGTGAACACTGGTGGAGTTTGGGGAAAATAGACCTTGACATTTGGGAGTTGTAGTTGCTGGGATTTATAGTTCACCTACAACCAAAGAGCATTCTGAACTCCACCAACGATGGAATTGAACCGATCTTGGCACACAGAACTCCCATGACCAACAGAAAATACTGTTTTCTGATGGTCTTTGGTGACCCCTCTGACACTCCTTCGCAACCCCTCCAGGGGTCCCGACCCCCAGGTTGAGTAATGCTGCACTACACAATACTGGCCTAGATTAAGCTGCTTGAAACCTGGTTTATAGGAAACCTGTTCCTCTTGCATTCATCTACACCAATATTGACTGATTGCAATATCTGGAAGGATTCATCCAGAGCCCTCTCTGGTGTTTTGGTTTTTTTAAAATATTCCATCCATGGAACAGTTTGAGCAGTAGATATCAGAGTCACACCGTCTCACTCTGAGAAAGGCAGGAGCAAACCCTAAGTAATTGGTTCTCAACCTTCCTAATGCCATGACCCCTTAATACAGTTCCTCATGTTGTGGTGACTCCCAACCATAAAATTATTTCCATTGCTACTTCATTACTCTAGTTTTGCTACTGTTATGAATCATAATGTAAATATCTGATATGCAGGATGTATTTTCATTCACTGAACCACATCTGACACAAATTAGAATACTGGTAGAGTTTGTGGGAGGATTGATTTTGTCATTTGGGAGTTGTAGTTGCTGGGATTTATGGTTCACCTACAATCAAAGAGTATTCTGAATTCCAGCAATAACGGAATTGGAACAAACTGGGCACACAGAACTCCCATGACAAACAGAAAATACTAGAAGAGCTTGGTGGGCATTGACCTTGAGTTTTGGAGTTGTAGTTCACCTACATCCAGAGAGCACTGTGGACTCAAACAATGATGGATCTGGACCAAACTTGGCATGAACACCCCATATGCCCAAATTTGAACACTGGTGGAGTTTGGGGAAAATAGACCTTGACATTTGGGATTTATAGTTCACCTACAATCAAAGAGCATTCTGAGCTCCACCAACGATGGAATTGAACCATCTTGGCACACAGAGCTCCCAAGACCAACAGAAAATACTGGAAAGGTTTGGTGGGCATTGAATTTGAGTTTTGGAGTTGTAGTTCACCTACATCCAGAGAGCACTGTGGACTCAAAAAATGATGGATCTGGACCAAACTTGGCACAAATACTCAATATGCCCAAATGTGAACACTGGTGGAGTTTGGGGAAAATAGACCTTGACATTTGACAGTTGTAGTTGCTGGGATTCATAGTTCACCTACAATCAAAGAGCATTCTGAACACCACCAATATAGAATTGGGCCAAACTTCCCACACAGAACCCCATGACCAACAGAAAATACTGTGTTTTTATGGTCTTTGGCGACCCCTTGAAACCCCTCTTGACCCCCCCCAGGGGTCCCGACCCCCAGGTTGAGAATCACTACCCTAAGTCAACATAAGTCAGCAATGACTTGAAAGCACACAGCAATAACATCCAAACACCAATCAGCCGCAGTCCAGTTTAACTTTCAAAATCAGAGCAGAGGATGGCATTTTGTTTTGTGTAGGATTCTGAAGTTCATCCATGGAGTGTTGTATCCTGGTCTTTCATAGACTATCACTCAAGGCACTCTTCCAAAGCAACCTTAAAGACCTCTTGTTACCTCCCTCTGAAGCTGAGAGAGTGGGACTAAAATCATAGAGTTGGAAAAAGCCCCAAGGGTCACCCAGTCTAACCCACCCGTTCTGCAATGCTGGGATAGAATCATAGAATCAAAGAGTTGGAAGAGACCTCATGGGCCATCCAGTCCAACCCCATTCTGCCAAGAAGCAGGAATATTGCATTCAAATCACCCCTGACAGATGGCCATCCAGCCTCTGTTTAAAAGCTTCCAAAGAAGGAGCCTCCACCACACTCCGGGTCAAAGAGTTCCACTGCTGAACGGCTCTCACAGTCAGGAAGTTCTTCCTCGTGTTCAGATGGAATCTCCTCTCTTGTAGTTTGAAGCCATTGTTCTGTGTCCTAGTCTCCAGGGAAGCAGAGAACAAGCTTGCTCCCTCCTCCCTGTGGCTTCCTCTCACATATTTATACATGGCTATCATATCTCCTCTCAGCCTTCTCTTCTTCAGGCTAAACATGCCCAGCTCCTTAAGCCGCTCCTCATAGGGCTTGTTCTCCAGACCCTTTTATCATTTTAGTCGCCCTCCTCTGGACACATTCCAGCTTGTCAATATCTCTCTTGAATTGTGGTGCCCAGAATTGGACACAATATTCCAGGTGTGGTCTAACCAAGGCAGAATAGAGGGGTAGCATGACTTCCCTAGATCTAGACACTATGCTCCTATTGATGCAGGCCAAAATCCCATTGGCTTTTTTTTTTTTTTGCTGCCACATCACATTGTAGGCTCATGTTTAACTTGTTGTCCACGAGGACTCCAAGATCTTTTTCACACGTACTGCTCTCGAGCCAGGCATCCCACATTCTGTATCTTTGC